CGTAGGCGGCTGCCTGCGTGCGGGTGATGCTGGTGTGCGGATGAACGCTCCTGCCGCTTCCAAGTCTCTTCTGCTTTACTCGGTGCAGGTAGCCATGAGTGACCGAAAGGCTGTGATCAAGAACGCGGACATGTCAGAAGAGATGCAGCAAGACTCTGTGGAGTGTGCTACGCAGGCCCTCGAGAAATACAACATTGAGAAGGACATAGCAGCTCACATAAAGAAGGTAAATGTTTGTAGCCTCTTCTTCGTGAAATCCCTCAGCACATCAAAAAAATCAAGCAAGGGGGAATGCTGCTGGGGAACAAGCTCTGGAGACACTGGATAATCAAGCTGGGCTTTCTGCAGGCTGCTGTCCTTATGTTCCTTTCCTTGCCTCTGTCATGTACTTTTCCTGGTCCTTCCCCCTTTCTGTCGCAGTATCTTCTATTTCTTCCAAGTCTTTTCCTCTGCAATGTCATCATCCAGCTACAGCTTTCCTCTGAGAGAGGTCTTGTTCTGTGTAGTCCTTGACTTAAATGTTTTTTGAATTCAGTCTTAAGGATAATTGAATGACTGCTTCTTTTAGAGAAGTGCTGTTCCTTTAATACAGAATTAAGTGGGGTGGGGTTTTCTTCCTACATGCAAGAAGTACTGTCTGTGCTACTGCAGAACAGATGGTTCACAGCTTACAGATTGTCAGACTGTCTGGCTCCTACTTGGAGGCTGAGTAGTTCTGATGAGCTGCAAATACTTGGAGGATTTGGCTGAGAGGCCTTGTAATACATGAGCACTAGCACTTGCAAGCACTCACAAAATATCCCCTCATTTGAGGGCTGTTAGATATTGCAATATATAACCACTGATGCAAGGTTCTGCTCATACTACACTTGTACGTAAGGGTTTATTTGAAACTCACGGTAGCCTCCTGAGAACGATAGGAAGAACGTGATCTCATTACTTGCTATGAAGAACGTGGCAGGGAATTTTCCATTAAGAGTGCTTTCAGCATGCTTGCTGCAAACAGATAACGAAGTCAAAATAATGACTTTGTATAGAGAAAGAAGCAGCTGTGAAGCTTTTACTCAAACCATAACTCTTAAGTTCATGGCATAACTTTTGAGGGAAAAAGATTTTCCCTGATCATAGGTAATGTCCTATGCTTATTCCTGCTCAGCTATGAAGCACTAGGGTGAGGTGTGTGTTTGTTTTTGGTTGACTAAGCAGCAGGTGAGGTATAACAGTAAGAAATACAGTCCTTGTACTTAAAAGCATATACAGCTTCTTAATTGCCTTCTTCAAAAAGCGATGCTTGTTCTTGTTAAAAGTGACATCCATGCCAGAAAATCTTCAGACAACATTTGCATGAGAACTGGAGTAATACTAAGTTACTACTGTTCTCTTCTGCAGGAGTTTGACAAGAAATACAATCCCACTTGGCACTGCATCGTGGGAAGGAACTTTGGAAGCTACGTGACTCATGAGACAAAGCACTTCATCTACTTCTACCTCGGCCAAGTCGCTATTCTTCTCTTCAAGTCTGGTTAGAACTATGGACTGTTACTGAAACTTGCATCTGGACTGCACACTAACTCCAAGCAGCCTGCTAACCTCAGCCTTCCTGAGGGAGCAGACCTTGATCTTCAGGTCTTCTGTTGTGTTGTCAGGGATTTTGCTGTATTGGTTGGTATTTTCATTGTGGCTTAAAAAAAAAAGCAAAGGTCTTCCTTCTATTTATTTTCTTTTAAAAGCCATTTTCTTTGCTAATAAAACTGTTGGAGCAATGTGGCCTTTAAGAGTTTTATAGCTGTCAACCCTTCTGCCCTATTACTACTTGCGCCACTTTTTTCTCCCCTGCAAATGAAGGAGAAACATCCCTCCCTTTCTTCCCCCCCCAAATCCAGAACAAGCAAATCATAAGCTAAATATATAAGCAAATGCTCACTGCTCAGTCAGTAACTGTAAGAATAACAGAAGAGTTTTTTTCCAGCTGCTTTCCAAGTCTTGATAACATATTTCAGTTTGAATATCCTCCCGTGCAAGTTCTGGAGTTTAGCTACATGGTATAGGAAGGTACCTGCTTTTTGATTTCCAGTGAGCTGAACTGTAACAACTACAGACTTAAATCAGTGGTTCTTTCCCTCTTCTCCTAATTTTCAAAACACACTTATTAGCACTTCAGCATGGATAAATTTGTTTCTTCTAGTTTTTTTTTCTTTTCTGGCTCAACAATATGAAACTTTTCCTCCCTTATCAAAGGAAAATCAGTTGGATGCATTTTAACTGCTGGTGGCAGGTTTTATATTCTACTCCCACATCCTATGACACAAACATCAGGCCTCAAACAAGTTAAAGAAGAGAAAGAAACACACAGTATATTTAAGTAGAGCCTATACATGAAGCATTGACTGAGGAAGAGCTTCCACATGTAGGTAAAAATATATCATTTACCTCAAAATACAGTTTGCTGTCATTCTCCTTCAAAAAAGCTTCCTTTCTCTTCCAAAGGTTAAAATATTGACTTAAGTGAACAAAAGTTAGCACAGAGCTGTTTTATTTCACAAGTCTTCCACTTCCCTTTGAAGGAAATAAAGGAAGCACAGAAGTCTCTTAAAGCCCACATAACGAAGACAATGAGAGCTTAATAAACATTTAGTAAATCCAAGTTACTTTGCACTGCTATGATATCCCCCTTGAAGTTTAGTAAAAGAAAAGAGGCATCTTGTTTGAAGGCTAGTCAGTCTATTTCTGGATCCACACAACAGGTAAGTGAAGTCACTACATTTATTAGGATTGCTCGGTTTTGGCCATGTCCGTTAGATTGCACTTGAAGGGAAATGCAAACGTAAGAAGTCGGCCACAGAAGTCACTTCATCCTCAGGTCTGGGGCTGGGTAGTGGGAAGCAGCTGATGTTCTGGGTCACTGCTGAGCAAGTATCTGTTGCTCAAGTTTTTAAACTCAAAGTCCAAGTTTTGAGCTAAATAAATAAAATGACTTCTTTCTCAGAAAAACGGAGTTCTCCCAAGACTTTCTTCTATCTTGATAGAGTTAAAATTCCACATCTTTCAGATTCCTCAGAAAAAAATATACTTCCTGTATTTTGCTAGGTAGCAGGCTCACAGTTTGAAACCTGAGTGAATGGCAACAATGCCCGATGTTAAATTCTGATAATCCACTTTAAAAAACCCTGCATCTTCTATCATTGCCTTGAACTCCTCCTGAAAAGTAATGGTTTCATAATTATAACAACCTGGAAGAAACGTAAGCCGGCTGCCTGCAACATTATGGTGGGACTGTCTTTTGTGTATTTGTGATTCCAGAGAAGTGCTGCCTTACCTGAGGGGGGAAGCGTCGGATGCTCTCCACGAGATACTGGTAAGATTTCCAGTCACCAGCAATAACCTCACCCAGAACAGGGATAATCTGGAAACTGTACAGATCATAGAGCCTGCCCAGACAAACAGCAAGTACGGATTAATACAAACAAGTTTAAAACCAAACCTCTCCAACCCACGTTGATCACTGTACCACTACGCTATGGAGTCTGAATTTGATTTAAAAGTGCACGATGAGGTGACCTTGAAGCATCTCTACTCACCCCGGCTCAGGGCAAGACAGTCTTGTCACATGACACAAGGTATCACCATGTTCCTACCTGGAAAGGAGAGGGTTGTTGACTTGACTAAATTCAAGGCAGAGAAATCTCCCTCCTGGCTTCAGTACACGATAGGCCTCCTGAAGCGCCTGAGACAAAGCAGACTTGATGAACTCAGTTTGTAGAGCAGCACCTGCTTCTATTACCATGTCATATGAAGGCAACTCAGTGATGAATTGAGGGGAGGAGAAAGAATCCTGACAATTTCAGAGGCAGTCTCCGATATTTACTTGTGGAGAAGCACAGACCAGTAGAAGACCACTTTTGCTGTTACATAAATATTTACACCAGGCTTTGACATTATGTTGTTAGGGATGCATTTTTTCTCTCTCCTTTCCCTACTCTTCGTTGATGAATGTTTGCCAGCACCACTATTTTAAATATAGACCAAACCTGAAAAGGAGAAGGTACTCAGCTACAAGAAACTGAAAATGAAAAAGAGGGCATGATGCATATATTTTAACCAAAAAATAAGATTTTATTCAACTGCAGGACACACCAACGGATCAGAGAAAGAACAACTCTGGGTTTTGGAGGAGCAATGTGCAAGAACAAGGGGGAGGTAGAGGGAAGAAGAGTCTTTGGCTTTTCTATCTTATTTCCAAATAAAACACCCCAAAAAGAGACAAGAAAAGCTGCATTTACAACTCTGTTTTTCATATCAGAGCACAGCAAAGTTGCGTTTAAGAACCTCTGCAAGTTGTACATCTGCTTAGCTTCAAATGTCGTGTTCCCAAGGAGTAGAATATAAACAGTACACACATGTGGTTGGAGCTCTGGAAGAGAATCAGAAGCTTTGAGGTGTTCTGCCTCCAGGGAGCTATGCTAGCAGACTGCTGTATCCAACTTCCATGAAGGGGTGTAAGAGCCCGTGCTTGGAAAGGGTGCAGGCAAAGCACTGCAGAAGGCCACGTGCATTAAGAGAAGTTCAAAGGCGTACAGACCTAGACTGTCCAAATGCTACACCCTCAACAAAGGAGCACAGCCAAGGTTGCAAGATACTCCTCCAAAACACAGACAACCTAGTCTAGCTAGACAGGTGAGCTAACATGAAAGACATCTAGTCATTCTGGAAGGACAGCTACTGGTTAGAACAAAGGGTACTACTTACCTAAATTAAAGCCATACTCATTCTTCATGGGAAACCCCTCTACCAACTAGCGTAAAGGCACTGAGCAGAAGCGGGCTGAACGGCTTAGTCCCATGACAGCAGCAGCAGCCAGCTGCCTCCTGCTCTCATCCCTGGGACCTCTGCAGGGCAGGAGAAAGGGGCACAAAGCACCTGACCCACTATAGGTGGGACATAGATGAGGCACTTTGGGAAGATTTGAGACATGCAGACTGACTGCTGTGTATGTGTAGATCCGATAATACTGTAAGTTAGGAGAAGGTGGGTAGTGACTGCAGTATACAGCTCTTTTTGCCTTGTGAGAAGATACGTGGCTTGTCAAGCTGGAAAGATTGGGCACAACTAGTATAAATCTAACTTTTTTTGCTATGACAAAGGTGGGGCATTTAACTGCATTCTTTATTCAAGCAAGCCGCAGACTACCTACCACTTATTTTAAATGTTTCAGGAGTAGACAAAGATGTTCTTTTACGCAAAGGAGTTTCTCCTTTGCTTCCTTCCCTAGGATAAAAAAAACACAGGTGAATTGTAAAGCCCCCACCACGTCCAGGACACACTACACCAACTTACCAAATCAATATGAGTTACATTTCGTATTCCAAAGGCAATTGTGTAAACATCGAACTTATCATCATCAAAGGGCAGCTCTTCAGCATTCCCAACCACCCAGGACAAACCTGTAATAAAAAACAAGGACATAATGGTATCGAACAGACTTTATGTAACCCAGAATCCTTCAGAAAGACTAGCACTTCTCTATTCCAAAATGGAATGATCATTATTAAGTGAAATACAAAACTAACATTGCAGTTCTGCTTTTTGGTTGTGGGGAAACACACCTTAGTTTATACTCGCAAAACCTTTCAGGACCCTGTTTTATAACGGTCGTCCTTCAAACAAAGGAGTCAATTTTGCAGATCAGCCAAAAGATTTCTCTGCAGACACAGGCGTGTTGTGTTCACAGTACCTTGGACTGCAGGAAAGAAATTTCACCCGAGTCTTGCACTGTAGTGGAAAGCAACAGATACTGGCTGCCTTTTAAGTGTTTGAAATATAAAGTTCCAAAAAGAGACTCTCTAACCAAAGAACAACTAGAATAATTATAGCGATTTGTTAACATCTTGCCATGCAATGATAGTCAACACACATAAAACATTTCATTCGGAAACTTCCATTGATTGAGAAAAATGAATAGCCACAATCCTGCCATTAGCACTATCTGACGTAGCATGCGATCGTGTTGCAGCTGTGTTGCTCCCCAAACCCCAAGAGATCTGGACTGTGTCTGTCTTGCAGAGCATAGGTGTCCAGGTTAGTTGTACCAAAAACAGGACTGCTCATTTTAGAATTAATAGATTGTAGGGTCACTGTTTTGTTGACTGAAATGCAGAACAAAAAATCCTAACAGAAAAATCAGAAGCTTTCTGAAATGGATATCAGCAGCCTTCCAAAGGGCAGCGTGCTGGAAAGGGGCACGAAGGAGAGCAGAAACGAAACAGAAAACCACAGCTGTTGCCAGGAAATATTCAAATTTCATTTTTTACAAAGAAGATACAATACTATCCTCAGCTGTGACTGTATGAAAAGAAGCACACAGCATTATTAAACCTGCAAGGTATCAAAGCTATCTTACACCAGACAGCTTGAAAAGACATTTAAGAAGGGAGCACCAAGAGAAGGCTTTGAGTGATAGGAGAACTGACCCTCAGAATAACACCGTAGGAAAATTCTGGCCCATGAGTTTCATAAGTGGAATGGATTAAAAGGATTGTAAGAAGGACTTGGGCACCTGCAGTGCAGCCTACCATTCCTGTTGGCCAGACTGCTCAGCCAACGACTGGGCAACAGGCTTGTTTCTCTTGGGCATGCACAGCCCTTAGACTTTGATTTGGCAAGTCTTAAGTCACAAAAAACACCTAAACAGTAAAGCCAATTAAGTCAAGTAAATTTACTTTACTTAAGTAAAGACTAAGTAGCCAGGAAACAGTATCAAGCTTTATTTCAGAGACTAAGCTACAGTCATAAACCTTTAAGTCTTTACTTATGATGCTGGTACACTTCAGGTGCTCCCAAACTATGGTGCATGAGAACTTCAGATGGAGTTGCAAGATGCTCAGAGGAGCACGATGCAAACCAAGGCTTTCACAATTAGTTTGTTGTGCCCAAAGTAAAGGGAGAGGCAGGCAGGCAATGGCCTGAGCTGGCCTGTCAGCAGAAAGCAAGAGCAGCTGAAAGGACCTGTGCCAGCAGCTTATCTTTAAGCCCCTTTGTGCTACTGGGCTGTGCCACATATCCTTCAGCCCACGGTATTTGCAGGCAGGAACTTCACTCACAGCTGCTTGGGAGATGTTTCTTGCAGAACCCACCTTCCCCACGCACCCAGGCCTCGTGCCAGGAGCTGGCAACAAGCAGTAAATGCTACACAGTTCCCTGGCTGTCACTGGAGCCTCAACCGGGTTGTGGGAAAGGGTCCAGTGAAAGGACACGCAACAAGGTCTTGTGCCTCTACGCAATATGCACAGGCTGCCCAGAGCATTCATAATGGTGGTACCCACGCAAACTCCTGGTATATTTTACACTCCCCAAATATTTTCCAAATATCCATAAATGAAGAGAAGATAAATGACTATCATACAAACGCTGTGCCACAAGCAGGACTTCTTTTTCTATGTCTTACTTCTGAAAATCAGGCTTTTCAATCAGGATGGGCGTGGTCCCCAACAAATTCTAGATATCAGTGAATTAATCCATTGACCTGCAAACTAACATTTAATATAATTCAGTTTCTTTGAGTATTATTAACACATTCTCTAACTGGGGAAAGTCTTACTGGTTCACGATAGACTGCAGTTCTTGCATTTCTTATTTGCTGCCTTGAGTCTCAAAACACCCATTAAATTATCTTTAGCGTAATCATTGTAGGGCTAAGCTCTTGCCCGTTATCCATCTTGAAGCCAGAGGAGTTTGCACAGATGGAAAGAATAAGCTTTAGTTATTTTTACCCATTGGGAAGGACAGGTGGACATGAGACCTCACATACGTTTCCATGCCTGCATTTCTGAAGGCTCAAGTATTCAAGAGGAACACTGAACCTCTGAGCAGCATATTGCATTCATGCTTATTGGAAAATTAATTTTCCCTTGGCAAATACACAAGTATAGCTTTGGTGTACGGCACAGCTACATAACTGTTACTGTAATCTTGAAGCAGTGATTAACTGATAGCTAGCCCACATCAGCTTCTTGCTATCCGGGATGCTACTGAACTGGTGCACGACTTACCTTCAGAGTAGCCAAGGTGCTGCGCTTTCTGCCTCCCAACTTTTAACATTTCTTTGTTAATATCACAGACCACCACTTGGGAATCCCCAAGAGGCTTAACTGCCTCTTCCTGGTAACTGTCAGCAATTTCTTGCCACGACAAATTCTGATGGTGCTTAAGCTTCCGCTGGAGCTGGCGTTCTCGCATGGAACGAACATAATTAATAAATCGAAAGGCGATGTCACCTGTGTTGATTTTTAAAGGAAAGATATACATTTTGGAATGTTTTCTGAAATTGGAAGTATTAAGACTCCAGGGAACATAAATCTAGGGTAGTTGAACTATACATACACACACACACTTTTTTATATAAGTTAAATACATATATTTTAAGGGGCCATATTAAAAGTAAACAGTTCACCACTTTCTACAAATTGAAGTAAGTTTTCCCATAGCATATTACAGCAGTACTATAACAGTTTGAGTCTTCAAGCGAGTTGTTTCAAAATGTGCTCTCAACATTTTCCTGTGAAAGTCAGAGATGCTTTTCTTGTTTTAAAGATTAAAAACATGGAGGCTAAAAACATTAGGCAGCTTGTTAAAAGGTCTGAGCAGATTCAAAAAGATGAAAAAGCGTTCCCGACTAAGGTATCTGATTTCATCGTTAACAGACGATACTTTCTTTACGCTCAGACAGCTTGTCAAATGAACCCAAATTTGATATCTATTACTTATAGACAGATACCTAGATAAAAGCTGTTTGATCCCTTGAGAACCAGTGCTCCAAGTGACTGTGGCATCATGGTCACATGAAACTCAGCAAAAGTATTTACCTGTTCCTCCAGCAACATCAAGAAGAAGGGTTCCTGGGTAAGGGTTCATCTTATGCACAAGAACATCCTTCCACACTCGGTGAATGCCTAGACTCATTGAATCGTTCATTATGTCGTATTTCTTGGCCACGTTTTCAAACACCTGGTAAACTAAGAAGAAAGGACACGAGGATGAGGTACGACTTGCTTAAAATGCTCCTGCGGGAGCAGAACCTGCTCCCTGCCACCTTGGGCCGCCCCCCCACCCCCGCGGTACCCAAGGGGGCCGCCTCAGAGGCCCTTACCAGAAAGGGGACAGGATCCTACCGAGCTCGTTACCTGACAAACGTCTCTTTGGAGAAACGCGGCCTCTTCCCGTAACCTTTGCGGAGCTCAGCGGGGAAGAACGGAGCCCGCAGAACACCGGCACCGCCTAACTGCGGTAACGCCCCAAACCCGCGGCCCAGCGCCCCCGGGGCGCCGCACAGCTCCGCAGCGAGGCCCGGGCCCTCACCTTTCTCCCCCTTCTCCTCCTCGGACACGGTCTGGAAGCCGAAGTG